AAGAATCATAAAATTTATTTGTCTTAAAATACTAAAATGAGTTTATTTAAAAAATCAACATCAAACAGCTCCGAGTCCGCTTCTTCTTCTAGGTCTGATAGAAATACTCTTAGAAATTCAAAAGGAGTCATCACTAGTCATGAAAAAACTATAGATGATTTCCAAGGTTCAATTGATAATTGGAAAATTCCAAAAGTTCATAAAGAACAAATTTTACAAATCTCAAAATTAATTTTTCTAAGAACTGATTACTCAATTAAAACTGAAGAAAGATATACAACTTACAGAACCTTTTGAAATAATTCATTTGTTTTCAGAAAATTCTCTAAAAAGACATATAGAAAACGATTTCAAATATATACATATTGGTTTAGTTTAAGTTGGAATTAAACCACCTTCAAAAGAAGGATTAAACACTTCAATTTTAGCTACTTTACGAGATACAAGACTTAAAATATTTGAAGATTCATTATTAAGCTCTATGAGTCAAGTTTGTGTACTGGTCCAATTTCATTTGATTGTTATCCAAATTTTACAGTAGCTTTAAAAGATAAAAATACCTTAAAATCTCTAGTTTTACAAGTCAAAACTCACAATAATGAAATGATTGAAGGATCTATTCCAATTGCTATAATTATTAGAGTTCATTTTATAGCTATGATGAGTGCTTTCTCTTCAAAAGTAAAAATTTCGAGTAAAAAGCGTGAAACCCTCTTACTACAAACAAATTTTTCGAGATCGAACTCCACAATCCAAGATCTATTCAATAGAAAAAAATAAATCTTCCTGATGAACAGGTCTTTGAAGGAGTTGTACAACCAAAACCTACAAAACCTAATGAACCTTTAGAGCCAAATACACATTTAAAACATATTGAACAATTTCATAATGGAAAGGTGAAACTTCATAAAGGAAAGATACTGCCCTGCAAAACACAACCGTAACAAGCCTCAACAGCTCGACCAGTCAGAACACTTGGACCAGAATAAAGATGGACAACACAACAAAAACGCAAAAACGGGGGAACAATCTTACAGCCAACGCCTTGACCGCCATGGCAGAACTTTTGGAAAAAGGCCATCTCAAAGAGAATTAGGAGGACACCGATAGGTCTCGAACTCTTACAGCAGATACCAACGAGGCGACCCCTCAAACCACTACAGATGACACAGAACTGTCTCTGACTCTCACTCCTACTATAGATCTGCGACATCAAAGAAAGTTTACCCACACAACTCTGAATATGATCAACAGCTCATCGAACAGAAACAAAAAACCTATCAGAGAGACTCACCTACTCACCACCAAGAGCCTATATGGCAAAGGAAGGACCCGACCACCTCTCAACGGGCTTACCAGTCTGAAGTATCAGCCATAAGGAGCCCTCTTATGAAAGTCAACCTGGCTCTCGAGGCATTCCCCGTCACCCCTCCACCACGGAACGAGACTGAGAAGATCATGGAGGAACTCTAGGAAGTCACTACAAACTACATCAACTACCCTGATCTGATAGAGAGTGCTGCACACCTGCAAAGGGTAATAGAGGGAGAACAAAGAGGAATGATGGCAGAAACTGCGGCCTTGATATTAGCTGGAAGAAACCCCCAAACTCAACCCCTGATGAGCCAGACAAATCTTCAAACCGCGGCAAGTCAAGAGGCTAACACCACGAAACAACAACTGACTGAAATTCCGCCTGCCACTAACAACATGACTCAGGCAGCCAAGAGAAGGGGAAGACCACCAAAATCACCAACAGAAGCCCCCTCCAGGGAACAACCTCAAAGAAGTTCCACCTCGTTCACAACTCCCCGAGAATCAGAACTGAAAAATCAAAAACAGACATTGCCTCATCAAGCAGAGCAGCTAAACCACCAATCCCAACTAACAATGTCAACCAGAGAGGAGGGGAAAGGAACATTATCTCAAATTCGAGTCAGCCAACTACTTCAACCGATCCAGAAACTTCAAAGAATGTACCAACCTCAAGCAGAGCAGCTCCTTGCAGAAAAATCATTCCACCAAGTAAGAAGAGGAAGGCGGATTTTCAACATCCACAAGACCCTCTTCCTTAGCCATAATGAGCTGGAACTGTTGCGGGCTGGAGAATCCCGAAACAGTTCGACGACTAGGGGAAATACACAAACGTATTAACCCAGATATCCTATATATCATGGTGACTAAGAATTCAGATGAGTTTGTACTTAAAAATCTGAACCATATGAACTACAACTTACATTTCTTTGTATCTCCCCACGGTGTTGGTGGTGGAGGCCTTGCACTCTTTTGGATGAATGATATTTCCTTACAAGTCTTATCATCCTCCAAGAATTACATTGATATGGAAATCACCTACAAAGGGAAAATTTGTCATTCTACATTCACTTATGGTGACCCTGAACAACCAAAAAGAAAAGCAGTTTGGGAAGAACTTACAGGAATTGCAGCATCTCGAGACTCACCGTGGCTACTTAAAGGAGACTTCAACGATATTCTTGATAACTCCGAGAAAACTAGAGGCCCACTCTGAGCAGAAGGATCCTTTGGCGACTTCTGAGCATTTTTATCACAGTGTGACCTCTTTGAGTTGCAACACACTGGTAACCCTTTGTCTTGGAGAGGGAAAAAACACACGCACCTGATACATTTTTGACTAGACAGAACACTCTCCAACACCTCATGGGCTGAGATGTTCCCCAGAGGCATGTGCAGATACCTCCAATATGAAGGGTCATATCATCGCCCCATAGTCACGTATTTCGACACTACAACTCGCAAAAAAGAAGAGCATCTTCAGGTACGACAGACGAATGAAAAACAATGATGAGATTACAAAGCTGGTTGAAAGAACCTGGAACCTATACCCCGACGCCTCGGTAGAGCAACAAATCTCAAGCTGCAGACAAGCAATTTCTATCTGGAACAGGAAGCATCATGAAAATGCTCAGAAAACCACTGAGAATGAGAAATTGAGCCTGGATGAAGCCCTAAGCAGCAGTAATCCAGACGAGGACCTGATAACCGAGAACAAAGCAAATCTGAAAGCTGCATATACAAGAGAGGAAGCATATTGGCAGCATAGAAGTAGGAACTTATGGTTATCACTAGGAGACAAAAACACCAACTACTTCCATGATATTACGAAAGGGAGAAGGGCCAGAAATAAGTTCTCGGTCATAGAGAATAGTCATGGAATACCTGTGTACGAAGAAGATGAGATTTCGGAGGTCATCAGCAACGTCTACCAAGACCTCTTCACTTCCAATGGTTCTTTGGATCCTGCAACAGTACAAGAAGCTCTAAGTCCACTAGTCACCTCGGATATGAATGAGAAACTCACAGCAATACCCACCAAGGAGGAAATCCGAGCAGCTCTCTTCTCAGTTTCACCCTGACAAAGCGCCAGGTCCAGATGGCTTCTCAACCAGTTTCTTTCAGTCTAACTAGAAATAGTGGGAGATAAAATATCAGCGGAGCTTCAAAGCTTTTTCCATGAAGGACACTTCCCGAGATCTGTCAACAATACACATGTTATACTCATCCCTAAAACCTTTTCTCCAAAAGCTGTTGCAGACTATACACTGCCAAATCTGTCAACAATACACTACCAAATCTTCAGTAACCTTCTCAAGCAAGACACCCCCAAAAGTAAAAGAAAGAGTTAAAACCAAACTGGGGATTGTGAATGAAGGAGAACAAGGGAAGTATCTTGGCTTACCAGAGTACTTTGGAAGGAAAAAGAAGAATTTGTTCACCTTAATAGTGGACCGCATCCGCCAGAAGTCCCTTAGCTGGTCTTCGAAATTCCTCTCCAGTGCTGGCAAGTTGACCCTTCTCAAATCCGTTCTGTCAGCTATTCCTACATACACAAGGACGCGTTTTAAACCGCCCAAAAGCCTCTATAGAAGAACCTAATCAGCATTGACAAGATATTGGTGGGATTCAAATCAAGGAGTTAAAAAGATGTGGTGGATTGTGTGGACTAAACTAACAAAAGCAAAGAAAGACAGAGGCCTGAGTTTTCGGGATATAGAATGCTTCAGTGATGCTCTGTTGGCCAAGTTGAGTTGGTGTATTCTACAAAACCAGGAGTGCCTGCTAGCTTAAGTTCTGCTAAAAAAATACTGCAAACATGAGCACTTCCTACAGGTCAACACTCCAGCTACATCATCCCATGGATGGCAAGGCATACTAGTAGGCAGGAATTTTCTACTTAAGAATCTTGGCAAAGCTATCGGCAATGGAAAATCAACTAACCTTTGGTCTGAGCCGTGGATGTCTCTCACTAAGCCAACTACTCCTTATGGACCTGCAACAGAAGCCACAAAAGACTTAAAAGTTTCAGAGCTCATGAGGGAAGATTCATCAGAATGGAACACAGACCGAATAAACTTGATCTTACTGCACCTCCTCCCAGTTATTCTCAGCCTCAAGCCAAGTTGGGAAGACGCAGAGGACGAATACATTTGGCTCCCAAATAAGGCAGGAGAGTATACTACAAAATCAGGATATCAAACTGTTATGGCAGAAAGGAATCAGGTATCTAATACCTCCATTCAAAGTAATCTAGCCTGGACAACGAATGTCTGGACGGGAGCTCTCTCTCCTAAACTCCGTATGTTCTTATGGAAAATCCTTCAAGGAGCACTGCCATTAGGGAAAAACCTGCAAAAACGTGGAATGACAGCGATGACAAACTGCTTTCGATGTGGAGAATTGGAATCAGCAACTCACTGCTTTTTCTACTGCTCATTCTCAAGAAACATCTGGGAAAAAGCTCCATTTACCTTGGTGATCGACAGCTCCTCGTTCTCAGATTTTCAATCGGGCGTCAGTATTGGAAAGAAACTGATTTGCCTCCCCCCAACTGGAATTGGACTGGGGTCTCTCTTCCCATGGCTTTGCTGGCAAATATGGATCTTTAGGAACCTTGTGATCTTTGAAAACAGGATCTTATCAGAGGATGAAACGCTCAACAAAGCAATAGCGTCAGCTCGGGAATGGATGCAAGCTCAGCAATTGGAGAAACCAGGGTTCTACCTCGAGTCATGACAAATCAACCCCCTCCCGAAACCATCTACGCCTCCTCAGATGCTGCATGGCGAGAAGATATGAATCTGGCTGGGACATGCTGGATCTTCATGAACAAAGGAACAATCACGGATCAAGGGTCGAAAGCTGTCCATCATGTTCCCTCCCCCCTAATCGGAGAAGCACTAGCTCTGCGATCGGCCCTGAATCACGCAATCCAGCTGGGAATTCAGAACCTGGCGATGAGATCTGATTCGCTTGACCTGATTAACTCAATCAACTCTGACAAGAAAATTAAGGAGCTCCATGGAATCCTCCAAGATGTCAAAACTCTTTCGGCGAGATTCAACTTCGTCTCGTTTTCGCATATCTTCGTAGTGATAATAGTTTAGCAGATCGCCTTGCAAAGAGCTCCTTAATGGACTCTTCGAATGCTCCTTTGTAATCGGTCTTCAAACGCTTTTAATTAAATGAATTGTTTGCCCAAAAAAAAAAGGAAAGGTAAAACTTTCTATCATCATGAATCTTCTTCTCTTCGATAAACTATTGATCTAAGAAGAGTTTCCCAATTAGCACAAGATTTTTTCAGAATGGAAAATTGTCCAAAATTCCAACTACGGTTTTCAACTTCTGATATTTCAAATTCTGTTTAAAGAAATGTTGATTTTCGAACACAAATCCCAAAACTTGTTTACAAAGCAGAAAATAGTTTTCAACATAATGACTTTTCTACAAAATCGGAGCCACCAAGTCCTACTTTCTCAGTTGTTACAAATAATATGATAAATGAGTTAAATGTTTTAGAAAAAGATTTTCAAATAGATAAAGAGTTTTTACGTGATGAACTTTACTCTAAAAATAACACCCAAAAAATACTTTGGTTTTTCAAAAAAAAAAAATTAAAAATAGAAGAGTTTTACAAATATCTTGTGAACATAAAAGACAAATTTGTTTTTCAATTGGTTTGAATACTAAGCATTCAAAAATAGTATCAATTTTCCTTTTTCTAAAATTATGAATCTAATCACCACGCAATAAACCCATGAATGAGAAACCCTTGCCAATGGAAAAATTATCCGCTCCAATCACCCCCCTCAACAGGGAATCAAGCTTGGATTGTTGGGACACTAATTGAAGCGATTGCTTTTAAACATCCCCAAGATGATGATAAGACTAATATCAAATATATCATCGTCCAAAACAATTTTTCAAATACGAATCTTGGAACAATAGGCAAACAGCTTGATAGAATCGAAAAATTGATTCAAAATCAACAAATCACTCGAATAGATTCTACCTCTGAAAAGAAAAAAAAAAAAAAAACACAATCAAACCTTGCCAAATTTCTAGCTCTAGTGTCAAAACTTACCAAGAGACGAATAAAGAATTCACTCGTGCTCTTCAAAGCCAACTAAGTAAGATAGACAAAGGAGAAAATAGCACGCTTCAGGAATCCGATATTCACGATACTCCTACTTCTAAAGCCCAAAAAAATACTCTAGCTAATGAATCCTATGCTAGTGAATCCTCTGAGCAAAATTCAATCCCTGAGATTAACCATCAAGATCGTCAAATAATCTTTGCCCCTGACTGATGTGCTCCTAGGTGATCAACTCTGAAGAAAAAGGCAATAGAAGCGGCGATATAATGGTCAGAACGTATCGATGAGGCGATATGGTGGTGGTGGTGACACGATGATGACTCGATGGGCTTGTGTTAGTGGTTGGAGCGATCGGTTCGATGAGGATGGTGGAGACTCGGCGGATCGAGTCGTGGATGCGCGATGGTGGCGTGAGAGAGAAGAGAAGATGGGATCGTGAAGGTGGTGTGATGGTGATAGTAGAATCTCTTGTAAACAGCTTAGTTTTAAGAGATTCGAATTTCAGAGTTTGTTTTGTTCTCAGAAATCAAAAGAGCGAAAAACACAATAAGGTTTTTTGATAAAAATTCTTCACTGATTAACACTTAGGCGATTTTCTCTAATATATAGACTTAGAGAGAAAATCGCAGCCCTAATAACAAAACTACATGTAGTTTGAAATAGAAACAACAAGAAGTTTGATTAAAATAAAACAGTGAGGCGTCCCTTCTAAATCCTAAGTGGTGCGCCTAAAATACTAGTGCACAAGTCATTGTGACTTTGCACATTATTAACCATTAGTAACAACTTCTAAGTAAATCGACGTAGCAATGATTTCTGCCTCGTTAAAAACCTTGGAGAAGAACCTCCTTCCTTCCAAAATCCTCACCAAGGAAAAGAGTACAGAATCATCACCTAAGTTACCTAGTCTTTGTTACTGGGTTCTTCATTCTTCAAAATAGAGATGTTGAAGATGTGAGCTCCAGCCTCCAGGTGATCGCTGTCCTCTGCGGCAATGAGTGTGTGAGCCTCCTTAGCCATCTCTCTAGCTCTGGAACGAGTGATCCTGCCAGCTACCTCTGGTTCCTCCTCCTCTGAGCTGGTCACGATCATATCATCCTCTCCCTCTTGAAAAGGATTTGTCCTCAAATCTGAATCTGCAACATAAGGAAGCAAGTCAGAAACTTTGAAAGCATCAGAAACGTCATACTTACCTTGAAGATCAATCTGATAGGCGTTGTTGTTGATTCTTTTGATGACTACGAATGGTCCATCAACTCTGGGCATTAGCTTGTTCTTTCGTTCAGTTGGAAATCGCTCCTTCCTCAGATGGATCCACACCAGATCTCCTTCTTTGAAAATCAGCTCCTTTTGTCCTTTGTTGGCATGCTTCTCATACTGCTTTGTCTTCTTCTCGATGTTCTCCTTAGCCTTAGCATGTATTCTTCGGACCTGTTCAGCTTTCTCCTTGCCATTCAAACTGCATTTTCCACTTAAAGGCAAAGGGATCAAGTCTAGAGGTGATTGTGGATTAAACCCATATACAATTTCAAAAGGAGAAAAGAGGGTAGCGGAATGCTTAGCGTGATTGTAAGCAAACTCGACATGAGGCAGACACGCTTCCCATGTCTTGAGGTTACTTTTCACCAAAGTCCTTAGAAGTGTGGACAACGTTCTATTCACCACCTCAGTCTTTCCATCGGTCTGAGGATGACACGTAGTTGAGAATGAGAGCTTTGTTCCCAGCTGAGCCCAAAGCGTCCGCCAAAAATGTCCTAAGAACTTTGTGTCTCGATCTGAAACGATAACCTGTGGCATTCCATGCAATCTTACTACTTCCCTAAAAAACAAGTTAGCTACATTCACAGCATCATCTGTCTTATGGCTAGCGATGAAGTGAGCCATCTTGCTAAACCTGTCAACAACTACAAAAATAGAATCTCTACCATTTCTGGTTCGAGGTAAGCCAACTACAAAATCCATAGAGATATTAGTCCAAGGTTGAGAAGGAATAGGCAAAGGAGTATACAAACCGTGAGGTTGAACTTTACTCTTAGCCATCTTACATACGACACATCTAGAGCAGATTTTCTCGACGTCTTTCTTCATGTTCGGCCAATAGAAGTGCTCTTGTAGTCCAAGAAGTGTCTTGGTGACACCGAAGTGTCCAGCTAATCCACCTCCATGAGCTTCTCGTACCAATAGCTCTCGAATGGATCCTTGTGGTATGCACAATCGATTACTGAAGAACAAGTATCCATCCTGTCTATAAAATTTCTCACAGGCAAACTTATGACATTTGGCATAGCTCTCAGAAAAGTCAGTATCAGATTTATAAAGATCTATAATATGCTCAAATCCAAGCAACTTTGACGTTAAGGTAGAAATAAGAGTGTACCTCCTGGATAATGCGTCTGCGACCACATTATCTTTACCTTTTTTGTATCTAACAATGTAGGGGAATGTCTCAATGAACTCCATCCATCGCCCATGTCTTTTGTTAAGTTTCTGCTGACCCTTAAGGTGCTTTAGAGACTCGTGATCGGTATGAATGACGGACTCCTTAGGCCATAGGTAATGCTGCCACGTCTGGAGAGCTCGAACCAATGCGTATAACTCCTTGTCATACGTGGGATAATTCAGCGTTGATCCTCCTAACTTTTCGCTGAAGTAAGCGACGGACTTCTTGTCCTGCATAAGAACTGCTCCAATACCTACACCAGAAGCATCGCATTCAATCTCAAAAGTCTTAGTAAAGTCAGGAAGTACTAGTAAGGATGAATTGATAAGCTTCTCTTTAAGGGCTGTAAAAGCCTGTTCTTGCGCCTCTCCCCACTTGAACCCCACGTCTTTCTTGATTACTTCTGTTAAGAGCGCGGCTATGGTGCTGAAATCACGAACAAAACGCCTGTAGAATCCTGCTAAGCCATGGAAACTTCGGACTTCTCCAATATTCTTGGGGTTGGCCACTCCTTGATAGCTTTTATCTTTTCTTCATCTACTTTAACTCCTCCTGCACTTACTACAAAGCCTTTACTGTAGATGAGGATATCGTCGAAATAAACCACTACGAACACGCCAATGAATGGTCTCAGGGCATGGTTCATTAATCTCATGAAGGTGCTGGGAGTATTGGTGAGACCAAACAGCATAACTAGCCACTCGTAGAGTCCTTGCTTTGTCTTGAATGCCGTCTTCCATTCGTCTCCTTCTTTCATTCTGATCTGATGATACCCACTTTTCAAGTCTATCTTAGAGAAGATTGTCAATCCACAGAGCTCATCCAGCATATCATCTAGTCTTGGAATCGGATGCCTATACTTCACAGTGATGTTGTTGATAGCTCGGCAGTCTACACACATTCTCCAGGAACCATCCTTCTTTGGCACTAACAGAACTGGAACCGCACATGGACTCAAGCTTTCTCGGATATGTCCTTTGCTCATCAGCTCTTCCAATTGCTTCTACAGCTCCTTAGTCTCTACAGGATTGGTTCGGTAAGCTGGTCTATTAGGTAATGCTGATCCTGGTACCAAGTCGATCTGATGCTCTATCCCGCGAATTGGAGGTAGCCCTGGTGGAATTTCTTCCGGAAAAACGTCCTTATATTCCTGAAAAATCTCAAACATAGCACTAGGAAGCTCCTGTGAAGGGTTAGTACTAACAAGGGATTCCTTGTACACAAACATAAAAATAGTCATTTCAGGATCAAAGAGTTTAGAAAATTCACTGTGGTTTATGTAGAGGCTGTTGGCGATTTTCTCCTTCTCCTTGAGCTTCATCTGAATCTGATCTTGGTAAATCTCGGTAGGTGTGAGAGGTAGGAGGGTAATTTTGCGACCTTTAAACTCGAATGAGTGCTTGTTGGTATAACCGTCGTGTATCACCCTACGATCTGATTGCCACGGTCTGTTAGCAACACATGACTCGAACCCATGGGAATAACATCACATAGAATCTCATCTTCATACTTCCCAATAGATAGAGAAACCATAACTTGCTGAGATACGGTCAAGGCTCCACTGTCATTCA